GGGGTGAGCTAAGACTCAAGTAATATTCTTGGCTGTTGAGCCTTGTATTGTATGACCAGTAAGTCTTGTATTGGACAGGGAGTTTTGCATTGATCAAAGACAGAGGCTGATAGCCACTTGGAGTACTAAAAAGGCTTTCTACACTAATTTGGAGTAAAAACAAAATATTCACTTGAGTTACACTGTGTGACTTGTCAAAACTGATATTTGACACGATTTAAAATAATATGAAACCAAACCCAACCCACTGCCATCAAGTCTGTGCTGCCTCTTAGCAATCCTTTGGGGAAAGTAGAACAAGCTCCTTTGGGTTTTTGAGACTGTAAATCTTTACGGGAGCATATAACCTCACCTTTCTTCTGTGAAGTGGCTGGTGGCTTTGAACTGCTGACTGTGCAGTTAGCAGCCCAATAAGTTACCCACTAGCCCACCAGGGCTCCTTTTTACATAACCAGAAATCCCTGAGTTCTGATCCTGGTTCTCTGAGACAGCTTCCTCACAGTTGAGCCAGAGAGAAATATCTAAAGAGGATGACAGTATCTCACACAAAAGTGTCTTAAGCAAACTGTATTTCTTTTCCCTTCCCCCAACCATTTCACAATAAGATAATTATCCAACAAGGAGCGCTTCTGAAATGGCTTGATTGAATGTAGGTTGGTGTTTCACAAAGTTAAAACTGCAATTCTTAGAAAACCACCTAAATTAGAAAAGCTCCTAAAACTGGTGAAGCAGATGTTTTATTTTCATACTTTGCCCTTCCTGCCCTAACCTCACCTCCTCTTTCCTGTAGAAATGCCAGGACTTCACAAACTGCCTGGGAAGGGACTGGATTGGTGTCCCAGGGCTACTGTAATGGGAATTTATTAGCTCACAGTTCTGGGGGTCAAATCAGGGTATTGGCCATCGTAACTCTTCCTGATGGCTCTGAACAAGAAACTGCTTCACATCCGTCTCCTGGCTTCTAGAAAGTAGCTCCAGACAATCCTTGGCTTGCAGCTGCAGTATTACATGATGTCCTTTTTCTGTCTCCCTTTTATATAAATCTAAGTCTATCTAAGATATAGATTGAGGCTTAGGACCCGCCCTATTCCAAGTACAATCTCATGTTAACTGGTAACATCAATGACCCTATTTCCACGCAGATTCATGTTCACAGGTTCCAGGGTTAAGACTTCAACATAGCTGATACCAGGGGTTCAAGTAGAAAGAAAATGCGTTGAAAAACATAATGGCAACATATGCACAAATGGGCTTGAGATAACTGATGGATGGATGGTTTTAAGAGCTGTAAGAGCCCCCAATAAAATGATTTTTTTTAAAAAATACTTCAACATAATTTTTGGAGGGAACAAAATCCAAGCCATAATAGTCTACAATAGGGTCTAGGAAGGCATCTAATGTCTTTCAGTGGTTCTTTCTAGCCCTCAAACAGTAGGACCCATCACCACCATCTCTTGCTTATATCACTTTCAAATCCACAGAAATTACCCTCGACCCACTGCAATTTGTGAGATACGATACCAAGGTATTCTGGGGAGTGCACATCACTCCCTGCTACATACTCAAACAACTTCTCTGGTTACTTGCTTAGCATATAGATCGAATAAGTATGGTCAGAAGACACAACCTTGACGCACATCTTTCTTGTTTATAAACCATACAGGATTAGTCTCAAAATCAAAAGCAGAGGCTGCTCTTTTATTAGTTGATTGAATCACATCATTTTATAGAAGGGGAAATAGAAGCTCAGGAAGACCAAGCCATGACTCCAAAAGGAGAGACAGATATTGGAATCTGGATCAATTAACTCCCAGAATTATGCCTTTGCTGTCTTAAATGGCTGCATGCCTTTCCTGCTGACAAGCCACATGGAGACAGGCTGGTGGCAGCCAGAGCCCTGGAGCTGGAGGAGTCACATGGAGACCCAGGCCAGTGCTGAGATGCTTCCACTGCCACTGGATCCACAAGATTCTCATGTCAACTTGAGGGTATATGAGTGAAGAGGAGTTCATGGGCTAATGTAGGACTTACGGGCTAATATCAAACTTATGGATTTGATCTGGACTGGGCTGGGCTATTTTATTGATGCATAATTACTTTTTTAAAAAGATCATTTTATTGGGGGCTCTTATAACAATCTATACATCAATTGTTTCAAGCATATTTGTATAGCTGTTGCCACCGTTATTTTCTAAACGTTTACTTTCTATTTGAGCCCTTGGTATCAGCTCCTCTTTTTCTCCTCCCTCCCCCCAATTACTTCTTGATATAAAGTTCTCTTACACATTAAAATAAAAAGGGTTGCACGAATCTAAGCCTTTCTGTCATTCAAATACAACCAGGGAATATTGCATGGTTTCAAATGAGGAAAATTGTACACCAGGGTTGCATCCTTTCGCCCTATTTATTTAGCTTGTATCCTGAAAAAAGTCATCTGAGAAGCTGGATTGCACTAGGAACACGGCATCACAGGATTGGAAGAAGGCTCACTTGTTGGGGGTCAAACTATCTATGCTTGGGCAAGTGGGACAGGACCATCACCTCCCACGGCCGGGGCAAGGCCCCGGGGAAAAGTGCTGACAGCTCAACCCAAGGAGCTGATGTACTGGATGGTCTGACCTTCACCTGAGATAGACACTTCTCCCCTCTTGTTCCCTGGGGCACTGCTGAAGCACAACATTCTGCAAAAGATCAGCTATCCTCCCTGTTCCTGGCTTCATCCTGCCCTTGAGCTTGGGATAAAATCCCTTCGGCAGTCTTGTCTGTATAAACAAACACACTGCAGTTGGTGGGCCGTCTTCTCCCTCCTCAGAGAAAACGGCTCGACCTGGCCTCAGCTTTCTGCATTCTGTCTCTTGTCCTGCATCCCTCACCATCCTCCCTCCAACATTCCAGGAGCTCTGCAGGTCTCGGAGCACTTATTGCCAACTCACAGCATGTGGCTGCCAGGGCCCTGCTCACCGAAAGTAAGGAGACCTCGAAGCACTTGCTATGAAAATCAAAGACTGCTGTCTTCAATACAGATCACAATGCAATGGAAGGAAAACAAAGATCCTCACAGATGGGTAGAGGGATGTTAACTGGGGTGAAGGGGAATATGATATCCAAAAAGAGGAAAGCAAGCAAAAAAAAAAAAGGGAGACTAGATTTTATTGGAGCCATAATTGGTGCTCTTGGGACTAGCAGTCAAGAAGTCAAACAGGTGGCATTGGGCACAGCTGTGCAATTGCATTCTAGGGTCAAAGAGCACAGATGTCGCGTGAGGACTAGAGTGGCTGCTAGCTTCAATCACTTCATACACATGTAACAGCTGGGCCACGAAGGAGAAAGGCTAGCGAGGAACTGATGGGGTGATGGTATTGGTGAAGAGGACTGACCACGAGGACAAACAAGTCTGTCTTGGAAGAAGTCCAACCAGAATGCGGCCCCAAGCTTAATCACGTTGGATAACATGGTCACTGTGGATAACTTTATACATGTTAGCAGGAGAGAGCAGTCCCTGGGAAAAGACATTACACTTAGTGTGGTGGTTAGATTTTATGTCCACTTGAATTTATTCATTTTTAATTTT